CCCCCCCCCCCCCCCCCCCCGCCCTGGTGTTTGCCATCGGGATTGGGTTTTCGTCGCTTGGCAACGACGTTGTGAAACAAGACAATTCACCTCGTAAACTCGGCAACCAGGTTACCGTTTGTTTTTTTGCCTGTTATTGTATTGGCGGTAACCATGATTGGTGGTCGAGTGGATCATGTTGTGCGGGGTGGAGAACCCTCACTCCGCGCAAGGGGGATGATCGCACCACACTGTGTTAAAATGGTCAAGCACCCTCGAGGCAGTTACACAGTGCTTACAACTGTCTCTGGAAGTGAAAGCACCAGAAATAAAAATAAAGTCATACGCAGCTGTCATCCGTACGCAAGGAAGTAAGCACAAGATGCCGAACACCCGTAGCAGGATGCAGCGCGCCCCTCATGCGACTCGCCGAATACCTCACGGCGCTTCGCGCTTGGTAATGTGAGAGCCTGATNACCCCCCCCCCCCCCTCCCCCCCCCTTCACCTAACCACACACCAACCGACACAAAAACAGACAAACCCTTTCTTCGATTTTCACACGCGAACTACGGACGAGACGCCGATACCCCCTCCCGCCCCCCCTCCATTTTCGACGAGCTCTGTGCTCCCAAATATATTCGACGCACCTGTCCCACGAAGCTGATGGCGTCCTCGGAGACGAGGTGCTGGTTCTCCGTGTTGACGAACTTCTGCCACGGGCGGTTGCTGTGCCTGCCCATGATGCCGTCAAAGTGAGGGTCGAGCTCCAGCTCGTACTTATCTAGGTAGTTGAATAGCTCGTCGGTACCCAGCACCTATGATGTTGGATCGAGAGGAGCACCCAACAAAGAGAAAAAGGATCCACGTGCGTGCACACATAGCAGCGGGGTTCGGCGCCAATCCAAGAAACACAGAGAAGCAGGGTGTCAGCGGCGGCGCGTGCGGAACAAACAGCTCATTGATGCCCTCCAAGCGTGCAACCTAGAGAGTCCAAAAGCTCGTATGTACATATGGTTGGAGTCGATCGAATCAACAGAGGTCGTGTGTCGACAAGCTTCGTCGATACCGTCGGCACAACACTGCTTGGCACAGGGATAACAACAGAAGGAAAAGTTGGATCGGACAAGGGCGGTCCCATCGAGAAACCAACTACCGGCATGGGTCAAAACCGCAAGCGAACCCACGTGAAGCCGCCTCCCTCCAAACTACCGGCCGAAACAGCAGCCACTCGTGCCCAGCCTACGCACACACACACCCAAAGAAAAGATAGCCACACGCCCATGGAACAAGGGAGTCCACGGTAAGCCTCCTCCCTCCAGCGGCCTTCACAACAGTCAAGTCAGTCGGCCATGCCCCGCAAAACAAACAACTAAACACTGGACAGAAAAACACCCGCACTAATGAAAAAAAAAAAGAGTGACTAGACGCCTACTGCTGTGCATCCAAAACAACAACAAGCCGGCCGGCCGGCCGGCCGGGTCGCTTCCGTTCCGTTCCGTTCCCTTGTCACCTTAGCGATCTTGACGAGCTGGTCGTAGTTGTCGTGTCCGTGGAAGAAAGGTTCCTTCCGGAAGATCATCCCTGCGAACATGCAGCCCAATGACCACATGTCCAACGAGTAGTCGTACTCCTGCAGGTCCACCAACAACTCCGGCCCCTGCGTTTGGTGGTTTGGCGTGGTGTGTTTCGGAACCCGACGAACCAAGACAGAGAAAGAAGGCAACAGCGGAAACAGACAAAACAAAAAACAAAAAAACACGTGAGCCTGGCCCCTGCATTGGTTTTTCGCCCGACAACAAGACAAGACAAGACAAGACAAGAGAACAGCGGAAACAAGAAACCGCGAGATACCGCCCCCTTCCGTTGAAGTGGTTGGGCCGGCAAAACACGTGACCGACCTCTGGTGTTGGTGCTTTGGCCCACAACAAGACGGACAAGGTAACAGCCGACACAGTAAAACACGTAACACCGCCGCCTGCGTTGCGGTGTTTGGGCCGGCAACATGACAGAGAGAAGAGAATAGCGGACACTGCAGAAAAACGCGTGCTACCGTCCCCTACGTTGCGGTGTGCGGGCCGACCACGTCACATCCAGAACAGCTAAAGGAATTAAAACCCGTTACACCGGCCCCGGGTTTGTGTAATGGACGACAACAGGACAAGGGAAGGAGCCGAAAACAAGAAAACACGTGAAACCGACCAACCGGCCCGGCAGAAAACTGTCAAGATGACAACACGGAGAAGCGACGAGAATGAATCTCTGTTCCTTCACATCCTTTTCAGAGAAAGCAAAGAGTAAGGCGATCATTCACAAAAAAAAAAACAAGCGCGGATGGTCAAATGACCCAAGAACCCTGTCCAGCCGGCGGCCACGGCCGCACGCACCTTGAAGTAACGCGACGCCACCCGCACGTTGTACTCCCTACCCGGGTGGTAGAATTCCGCCAGCCCCCAGTCGATGAGCCTGAGCTGCTTCTGCTCGTGGTCGATCATCACGTTGTGCGGCTTCACGTCTCTGTGCATGATTCCGTTGGAGTGCGAATAGTCGAGAGCCTTGAGCAGCTCGAAGATGTAATACCTTCGGCGTTGTTGGTTGTTGTTGGATTCGAGAAAAGGAACGGAAGAAGGGGAGACGCGGAACAGAGGTAGCAAGGGGAACAGGAATAAATTAGCCTCCGAGTCGCTCAGCATACCCAGCAAAAATGTGGACAGTTGACACTCGCTTGACAATTGTCAAGGTTAAGGTTTGCCTCTCCTCGGCGGACAGCTGCCGGCCGACTCAGGTTCTACTGGAATGGACGCCGACAAAACACCATCCCAAACGCACACACACGTCTTCACTTAACACACACAGATGTGTGCCGAACCAAACTAAGATGCCGTCTCCACCCGCCACCCCAGAGGATCACATATCTACGGTCATCTCCTCCCCGTGCACGGGGCGACGACACGCGCAACAACAGAAGAAAGAACGGTGTTCTCTCTCATTCGCGCCTTTCTTCGTACCACTACACCTCTTGTCTCTTCACTCTGACCTGATGTCGTAGTCGGTGAGAGTTGGGTAGAGCACCTTGAAGTCCGTGTTGTTGATGTACTCGAACACGAGGCTGGGCGTCTTGCTCTGCGGGTCACGGACCACGTCCAGAAGCTGGATGATGTTGGTGCCCCCGCAAAGGTTTTGCAAGATCTTGATCTCCCTGGTGCGCCCGTGTTGGTTTTGGGTAACAAAGAAGAGAGGGAGAGGCAGAGAGAGAGAGAGAGAGAGAGAGAGAGAGAGCGGAAAGCACGTGTGAGGGGATTCTTGGTCCGATCGACAGTGCCAAGGTGCACACTCAGGTTTCGGCAAGAGCATCACCTTGTCGCTCGTGTGCACGCTTCCATTGAAAGCAGCGGCAGACAGAGGCGCTAGGAAAAGAGTGAGGGAGACAAAGAGCACGCACTGAGCAAACCAATCAGACGTTTAGACGTCACCTCCACCTACACCATCAACTCCATCAACTCCAGCAATACAACAACACGACTACCACCCTATACCGACTCCAACTGCAACTCCAGCAAAAACAACGGCCGCACTGCAGAACGCGCCATCCGCAAGGTCCTCTTATTACCGTGGGGAAAAAGAGACGAAATACATTATGCCCCCTGAACTGCATTTCAAAGCTCGACCACTCCACGACAAAGAGCATGCGGAAGCTAAACGTTACGATTTCGGAAAGATCTCGACGAGACGATTCCAACGCCGCCATATGTTAAGTCTCCGAATTTCTACTGCAGAGAAACCGAGCTCTGAAAATCGGTGCATGGGGTGTGGTATCTTGCGTCACCTACGGCATATTGGCCGAGGCTCGTTTTTTGTGTCGTCTATGGTGTAGGATACCCCCACGGCGACTACATAGGTGTAAGGGTAGGCGTCTCGACTGAGCATCTGTTCTTATCGCCAAGTTCGAAGCTCATGTTCTACACCATTGATTTCGAAAGGAGTGGCGCGCTGCGTACCACCGCCAAACAGAAACAAAAAGTTCCCGCCGGCCGCCGTTCCCCCACCTCTTGATCTTTTTCTTCTTGACCGGCTTTAGGATCTTGATGACGCACTTGGTGTTGTTCAGCACGTTCATCCCCTCGAACACCTCGCTGTACTTCCCCCTGCCGATCTTGCGAACCACCTCGTAGTCCTCCTGATCCCCCCAGTTCACCACCAGGCTCTCGTAGTCCCAGTACTCTCGGGGCCGGTGGACATTCACATCCGCGTACACCCTGGGGTGGTGGTTTGGTCGTCGATGGTGGTGTTTTTTGTTGCCGTGAGAATAACGTCATAGGGGTCGTTGTTTCTTGTTGGTGTCGTGGCTTTCGATGGCGATGGGTTACTCCCAACCACATGGTCATCGTTATCGTTGGCTCGTGAGTGGCTCGGTTGTCGATGGTGGCGGTTTCGCTTTGAGAATATCGTCGTATCGATTTCGCTGTTTCTGTCGTTGTGGTCTGTGGTTGTCCATGGTGATGAACTTGTTTTGAAGACATGGTCATCGTGATCGTTGGTTCGTTGTGGTTTGGTTGTCGATGGTGATGGGTTTTATCGTTGGCTCGTAAGTGGCTTGGTTATCGACGGTGGTGGGGTTGCCTGTAAGAAGAGATCGTCAACGTCTTTCGTTCTTTCTGTAGATGTTTGTGGTTATCGATGGTGATGAGCTTGGTTTCTGATTACGTGATCATCGTGATCGTTGGCTTGTAAGTGCCTTGTAAGTGGCTTGGATGTCGACGGTGGTGGGTTTGTTTTTGAAGAGATCGTCAACGACTTCCGTTGTCTCTGTCCACGTTGTTTGTGGTTGTCGATGGTGGTGAGTTTTGTCGTTGAAGACATCACCATCGTGACCGTTGGTTCGTTGTGGTTTGGTTGTCCATGGTGATGGGTTTCGTTTCGCAGATATCGTCATAGTTGTTCGATGTTTTCTGTCCTTGTGGTTTGTGTCGATGGTGATGAGATTGTGTTTGAAGACATCGTAATCATGATCGTTGGTGGGGTGTGGTTTGGCCGTCGATGGCGATGGGATTATTGTCAAGATATCGTCATCTTCTTTCGTTGTTTCTATCGTTGTGGATTGTGTCGATGGTGATAAAGGTTTGTATGAATGTCATCGTCATTTCGTTGTTTCTTGTTGCTGGGGACGGGGGGGGGGGCTTGGTGAGCATGAGTTCGTTTGGGAACCTCCCATACTTATGCAGTTTTTTGCCGGTCGCCCCGGTGGCCTAGTTGGTAACCTCGGAACCTTGTAGAGGTCAGGTCAGGGGTTCGAATCCCGGCGTAAGCAAGCTTTTCTTGCAAAGTGAGTTTCTCTCGCTTCCGCTCCTGGCCTAGTGGATAGCGCCAGTTCGTGTGTACACAGAGGGAAGAGAGTGCTGAACTCTTCTCGCATTAAAAATCGAAGGCAAAGTACCGCAGGAGGGGAGGGAAGAGAGGGGCTCTTCTGTGTGACCACGGGTTGGAGTAAACGACACCAGTGCCGTTAGCGCTGATTTGAAGTGAAGAAAAAAGAAAATAGAAAAAATACAAATGGGACCCTTCAACATCCCGGATCATCCCCAACAAATAAGAACAACGGCATCTGATCTGAGGAAAACCTCAGACAGCAGCAATCGGGAAAAGGGAAAAAAGGTTTCCAGCCGTGTGTGAGTGGCGTTGAGTGTTGGGGGCACCCCCTGCACACGTCACGCACACGTATGTATTGACATGCTTCGACAACGAGAGTGAGGCCGAACCTCTACAGCAAGGCTGCCGCTTCATCGTCGCAAGCATCTACCGGGTACCATTAAGACCCACACACAGCTGGCAGGCAGAAGCGTTCAACGAAGACTGCTGTGGAGCAAGTGAGATCTCGCCAGCTTCAGACCGCTCTTGTTGTACTGCAGCTGGGATGACACTAGGAAAAATTAACACAAACACAGAAAGAATTACCCGTTCGAGACAAAACCAAAGTACTTAAGTTTCGCAGAACACAATTGCAGTCCAATTTCCGTCGGAAAAGGTCGGCTGGCGGCTTCCTCGTGTGCGTTCGCCGAGCCATTCGGTCAAGCAGCAACGATCTCAATTCTTTGGTGAAGCCCTTCCAAACTCCCCGACGCTTTCAGCCTGTTGTGTACCCTCTGGTAGTAGTCAGTGCTCATGTTGCTGCTTTGGGTATGGGAGCGAATGGGCACGTCCAGCTTAAATTTCTTTCCTTCTTCTGGTCAAAACAAACGCCCATCGATACTCCTAAGTGCGATATGCATGCACACCATGCTTGAACCGAACGTGTTGTAGTTGAGGACTGGAGATCTATGAGGACCGGGCGTGTGTGTCGGCAGGAGAGCCAAAATGTATCGTCACGAAAGAACTGGATGAACTGCTGTCGCTTGATGGAGGCAGACAACAAGTTGAACGCCAGGTTGTGCAATGATAACAAGTGTGTCCTGCTTTCTCTGCTCTCTTGCGTCGTCGGCTGCTTGGTTGCAGCAACTGCCCGTGCTGCCATGCTCCGCATGTGTGTACTAAGAGAGTAGTTGCTTGCTGCCATGCTCCGAATGTGTGTACAAAGAGTTGCGTGCGGTCAGAGTTCCCCCTCTCCCCCCGACATAGAAACATAGAGTGGCACCGGAGCCGAGGCAACCCCGCATATCATTGCAAATATTTTATGACCCATGGGTTTCCTCGTGCCGTCAGGGGCAGGAATTCCCGGGTGAGATGAAGGGATGGAGGCAAACAACAACTGTAGCGGTGTTCGATTCACACTTTCGGTTTTCAGAGAGCATTGAGAAGAGAGAGAGACTTGCAGGGACGTGGGGATGCAGCACAAAAACGGAATACGCGCGCGCAAAATATCCGTCCCAGACTAGGTGCGTCTGACCAAGCAACACACAAGGTTGGGAAGCCGAGCATCTCTTCGCGGCAGTGGTGCACATACTGCCGATGCCTTTCTTCCGCCTCACCTGGCCCTACTCATGCTGCCCGCCGTGTGGACGCCTCCGTCAGCGGCTGCTGCAAAGCGCGGCCTCTCAAATGCCCTGCCTGACGGACACCAGCCACGGCAAGTTTTCGCCCGTCTTACACCAGATCCCACCAATCTCACGCCAAGGCAGGTGCGGTAGTTGATTGTGAACTCGTGTAATCGTGGCCTCTGGCCTCACTGATGTCCTACGGTCGCAGCCCTTTCCGTTTTGTGTGATTTCTCTTCTCTCGCTCGGCCGCGCTGGCCTCTTCGGCCCCGCAGATGAGACATAAGTCACCCGCAGCGTAATCCCGCTTGGGTTGCTAGTTGCAGACCCCCTGGCTGACATGTTTTTGCTGCACGAGGTCCACACGTATAATCACCATACCTTTCATGCATGACGTACATGCACACAATAAATCACGCGTTAATGTACCGTCCAGTTCGATTTCTCGAGATGCCCTCTGTTCCTCTTCGAAGCAAATCTACAGATAAAAATATATTTCACAAGGCCAATTTCTCGTGATTGCTTGCTGTCCTCACAGTCACGAGAGAGCGTGTGGTCGGGTGGCGAATTGCGAAGGTTTCCGTGTTTTTTGTCATGGTATGTTGTCATTTTCATCGTCAGATCGCCATCGTCAGCGATGAGCTAGAGTAGTTGCTCAACTGCTGTATTCTACTCGCGAAGACGGCACGTGGAGAGCTTGGGAGCGTGGAACACGAGCCAGAAAACGAAAAACACGTTACACACTTGTCTAGACTACACTACATCTGATTGCACGTGATCACGTGATCCCTTGAAAAGGGGTGAGCGAGACCTGCAATTTTCCAATACAGTCTTGCAACGAACGTACCATAGAAGTTTGGGTGTGAGTCGGGAGGGAACCGCAAGTTAATCATCACGAAGATGACATATCACGGGGTTGTACGCAAACTATTTCAGGATAGTGTTGCTTGCAGCTGCTCTACCGCCGTACACCCATCGTCTTCGTTGCATGTGTCGCACTGAACATCTCTTTGAAGTCCCGATCGTGCTCGCGCATTACAACCACGGACGTACGGATGGCTCTTGTCCCCCGTTGTATCCACCTGCAATATCGCAAAAGCAAAGCGGCCATCACCGACACTACAACAGCGGGAGCATGCACCCAAGAGCGCGATGCAAACTCGCGAAGCAGCTCTTAAACGGGGACACACGAACCAAACATTGCTCAAACGTCAAAGCCCAAACGCGGGTGCAGAATACAACAGCACCTACACCCTGCCGATCTGCAAAAAGCCATCAGAGCAGTGCTGAAGCTGCTGCGCAGCCAGCATGCCTCTGTGAGCGCTAAATGACTGTGACATGCGCTGCCGCGAGCCTTGTATGAGAAGGTCACCAACAGCAAGCAATCCACGATCCTCTCCCGAACGCCATTATATATCTCTCCTTTGTTCGGTTGTGCCATGTACGGCAACGCACGAACCACATCGCAACCGTTAAAGGTTCTTCCTTGGCAAGGGTGATCAGCAAGTTCGAACCAAATGGAACACATCACGAAGGTAAGGACGCAACAGCAGTGGCGGGAACGTGTACGCTTCTATCCTTGGCGTCAAGCGCAAGGGACCCATATCCCCAAAACAAGTCGCACAGCAGTGCACGGGCCGCCACGTATATCGCCGCTACCGACAACAAATTCCTAACCGAAAACAAATGCATCGCGATAACAGCAGTGCTTCTCTCGTCGAAACACATCTTGCAACGGCCCTCCCGATCACAAACATCCATACCAAAATCCGCCCGACTTAATACTAAAGTCACTCGTCTTCCTCTTCCTCCTCCTCCTCCTCCTCCTCCTCCTCCTCATCTTCCCCGGCCGCCTCGCCCTCCTCCGCCTTAAACAGGTCCCTCGGGTCGAACGCCGTTGCGGGGAGCGTGGCCGCCCGCGGGACGGCCTCTCTCTTGCTCTCCGGGTCGCTCAGGGTGACCAGTCCCAGCATGCCCGCGAAAAAGGCCAACCCCCCGCTCCACCACGCGAACGCTTCCGACTTGGACATGTGCGGCGCGTCGAAGTCAATGGTCGTCTCGGGCGCAACGCCGTCGTCCCAGATCAGCTCGTGGTTCTCATCCAGCTGTGACGAAGAGCACGCCGTTCGAGTTTGGTGGTCGTCGTAGATGCGGTCGTCGCGTTTCGGTTGCCACCGGTTCAGGTTTTGAGTAGGCGTTTGGGGTAGGGACGGCGGCGGGAAGGGGGGATGCAGGGAAGGAAAAGATGGGTTGGTGGGGAAGAGGGGTCGGCATGAGACGGAAGTTCGAGGGACATAGAGCGCCTTTGGCGACCTACAGCGGGGATTGTCACTGCACTATTTTAAATTTACAGTTCCTTCGCCAAAAAACAGCCAGCGGTGTTTATCGCACGGGACGTCACCGAACGTTTAACGCGCGCACGTGGGATGTTTGGGAGTGGGGACAGCAATGTGGCAGGACGCTGGAGACTACAAAGTCATACGCACAAGGACAAGGACAACGAGGCATGCCCGATGTACCCTCCGTGTGCCCCCGCCCCGCCCATTCGGACCGCTGTCGTGACCCTACAATAGCTCGTCTAAGCTAGCTTCCTCACCTCCTCACCCCCTATTCAGAGTACGCGCACCGACACGGTAGAAAATGATCTACTGTTGTCTGTGTTTTTGCGTGTGTAGACACCACCCGTGTTAAAGCGGAGGCTAACCCAATGGAGTATCTAGCCCGCTGGCTCGGTAGTCCAATGGGATAGTCTCCATAAAAAAAAACTAACGCCGACAGCCACGGCAAACCATGTGCGCAGCGGGCGTGTATCTGCCTGCACCTGCAGGAAAATAAGATGTGCCTTTAGCCATGTGGGTTCTCTGTGGAGGTAGACATGTGTAAGGATATGCGGTGGGTTTCCAACCATACATAATGCATATTTTACCCTGAAACCACTGGCGATCGACCCTAAACCCTACCTTTTCCATAACCCCAACTACTATTTATCAAAGCGAGAGCTTTGGGGGGCTACACCAATTTGTAACTTTTCCATATCGCTTGCAGGCACATTTTCCTATCGTTGCACGGGCGACAAAGTGTGCTTGGGTCGTGGTATGTGGCCCCATGAGATATACTTTGATGGTCTGCATTGATTGGAAAGTGTGAGCATGTGAGCGACGGTGGGTCTCGTGGCATTCATCCGTCGTGGGGCTCTGGGGCATATAGGAGCTGGGACCGCAGTCCGTTCACGGGAACATTCATCAACAAGCTCTGCACCAAAAACCAAATCAACTACTTCGAAGTATTGAAAAAAGCCATCGGAAGAGACTCGGACGACAGTTCTGTGCTATGGTCTACGCACCGCACGAGTGGAGCCCATCATCACGTGTCTGCAGCACTTTCTAGACACATAGACGACGAGCGACATAGCCACATGATACGTACACCAGTGTCAGATATGTAGGAGGAGTCGCGGTCAAGATCGACCTTACCTATTGTTTGTTGGTCATGAACAAGACAAAAGTGTTTGATGGATGTATTGTACACACATAAAGATTCAATACTCTTGCCGGAGAGAGCATGCGAATGGGTTAGCCGAGGGATAAAACGCGTTTGATTAATGGAGTTCTGCATCATCGGCACACTTATGCCAATGCATGACAATGCGTAGACACCTTTCAGGTCCCGTAGGGAACGTCTTGTGGGCGGAGGTGCTGAATTTTGGCGCACAGCAAGAGATGCCGCACCTTCTCGAGGTATGTGTAAATGTATATTCCGGCTGATTGCGCCTCATCGTTGATGTGCTTTGCCGCGAACAAGACAGACGGTTAACCTTTAGATGCAGCTGTCGACAAAACTTACTCTAGTACCTCGTGGGAGTGAGACACAAACGGGGGACACGAGCATACCTGATAGTCGACCGGCTTGTTTCGTGCGAAAGGCGGCTGCGGTGGCCCCCCCCCTCCCCGAGTCACCTGCTTCACGGCTGTTGATGTCATCACTCCACCCCCTCTACGAACAACATGCCGGAGAGCCATAGCATAGGCACGCACACACACCTTCTCACGTCGCTAACACAGCAGCTTGATGCCGCGGCTGGTCGTAGCTAGCTGGTCGGCGGTCGTGGGGGGGGACACTGGGCCCCGAAGAGGGTACGTGTGCATGTATTTTTACTATTTTTGCTGATTCCACGGTGCTTCTTACTGTTGGAACCAGCCTGTTGGAACAGCGGCAGCAGCCTGGTCCGTGTCACACTCAGCAGAGAGGTAGAGCGCAGGCAGCCCGCTCTCGCGAACATGGCGATCCAAACGAAGCACAAGCTTCTCATCTTCTGGATCATCATGCTGAGCTTCATCGCGTTCGGGGCGTGGCACAGCGAGGACATGGAGACGCCGTTCTGGGCGATGTGGACCGTGCCGATCATCTTCCTCTTCGTCTGGCTTCTGTTCGACTGCATCTTCGTCGACGACAAGGCCTTCGTCTTCGACCACGACTACGAGGTCAGTTGACGGGTTTTTTGTACAACCACACCCCACGTTTCTCGAGAGTGCTGTCAGCAACAACTCTTGTGATGTTTTTATTGCTGTAGAGGTCTGTTTTACCAGAAGGCAAACTCTATTTTTGCTGGACCTCTCGCCCTGCTTCTGTTTTTGGACGCATTGCGTGCTTCGCCGCCGTTGCTGCTGCTTGGTGCCGTCTGTCTGTCTGTGCTCGCCTATCTCGTGTTCAAGGGTTGTTTGAGCACGTAACCACCTTTGCTGTTATTCGCCCGTACGCACGTCTCTCAAAAAATTGCCTCGTGTATAAATGTATAATGGACTAGATGGCCCGATGCACTGATGATGTGGGTGAATACGAGTACTTCCCGTGAAATGGTCCGCTGCTGGCTGTATGTACCAGCCTACGCTGTCACCAGTATCGCTCCGTAGCTCACCAGACCTACTGGGTGCGTGTTGAGGGGCTCATAGCTCCAAGCGTGCTCAACGAGGATTTATTACTTCACTTACAGATGCTGCTGCCCTTCCTTCGTAACCACCGAGCAATTCGTAAGCACCAAGCAATTGGGACACAGGCTTCCGAGCTTCCCACCTTTAGCCGCCCCACTGTCCAATACCTACTGCCGTCGCATTGCATACGTCCAACAGCCGCTTAACAGCAGTAGGTCCACCAGTAGTCGATGGTATTCGTGTTATTTTGCGCGGGTGATCACTCTGCAACGCGATCTGCCCCGCAACCTACCTCATGAGTACGTGGGACCTCCTGATGCCCGGTCGATACCGTAGCTCCACTGCTTAGGTTGTAGGATGACATGGGTGCAATTCTCAGCAGGTGCTGCTGTTTACGGAGAAGACTCCTGTACGCCGGGAAAGAAAGATTTGTCTCTTGTATGCATATGCGGGGTGATCTATCTCCCATACGCATGCTGATACTGCCTGCAGTAGTGCACTCGCACAGCCACCGTAGGTGGCACGAGATACCACACACCCTCGATCGATTTTCAGAGCTCGATTTCTCCACGATGAAGAGGGGGCACAGTCACGTGTCACGTTTTCGGAAAGCTCTCGACAAGACGGTTCCAACGCCGCCATGTTTGGCACCACTGCTGTTCCTGCTGTGGATGAATCGGGCTTTGAACATCGGTTCGGGGTGTGTGGCATCTTGTGTCACCTACGGCATGTTGGGTTGGAAATAATCTCAAGCCAGTCGCCTCGTCGTTTTGGCATGGGCTTCAATTGCGCGCGCGCGTGTGCACGTTCGTTCATGTTCTCGGCTCTCCTCGTCACCGCGGTGTTTGATTATCGTACGACACCTCACTCCTGCGCCTCCATGCGCTCCTTCTCACCTACTCGTGTCTTCCCCGCCTGTGTTTCCTTACCTCGCTCTCCCCCCCCCCCCCCCCCCNCCCCCCCCCCCCCCTCCCTCGTGTTTCGCATCCGTTTCGTGCCTCTTGTGCTTGCCCCTTTTGGGGTCGCCGCCGATGGCCGTTTCCCCGCAGAACTGGAGCAGGAGAATGGATCCCATGTACTAAACGCGGAAGTGGGTAGAAGCTAGTTTTCCTTCTTTTTTTTTTTGTCCTTGTTGGTTCGTGTATTTCCCCTTGGTATTATGTGTTTCTTTCTTCGGGGGGGAAGGAGGTTGAGGGGTGCAAGAACTCCCAAATTCTTGGGAAGAGCCCTTTTCGACGGGCTGGCCTTTGGGCTTGGTAGCACGGACAAGAACGATTGCTGTAAATTGAGTAATTTCACCACGAAGGGGACGCCGGAGAATCAAATAAACACTTATGAAGTAGGCCGTTATAAGCTGTTTTTGGCTAGCGAAGATGTTGGCCGAAAGTATCCCACCACGACCAGCATCCACCGCATTTGATGAATGGACGTGCGTGGAGCAGAGCGGCTTGTGCACCCGGAGGCGAGAAGAAGTGATGAGGCGCATTTGGACCGCAATGCCAGGGTGCACACCTCACAGGAGCGCTTGCGTGTTTGTTGTTGCTCTCAGACCTTGGTTGTTGGCTGCCGATATGGAGTTGATTGTTTGCGCGGCCAAGTGCGTACAAGATCACGCCCGGGGTCCTTGAATGACGTCGGTTGTGCACTCCCGCCAACTCAGACCCACCCTCTCCCACAATACTGGCGTTTTTGATCCCCAGTGCGAAATGTTCAGTATCATGCGTTGTATGGAACAACTCATACGTGTCGAAAGTCCCGGCCGAGAGACGCCATCCCTACATGTTTTTGTTTTGTTTTTTTGTTTTTCTCCCATCATTGGACTCTGTCGTCTGCCCCTCTGGCCCCTATCCTCCACTTCTACTAGCTAGACGACCCAACCGGGGTCACATAGGAGGTGGGGGTTGGACCCCCTCCTGCGGTTCATGCCTGAGGTATTTTTATCGCGAGAAGGGTACAGCAATCCCTTCCCTCGCGACTTAAAAGGTCGATTATGGTTCACTAACAAACGAGCTTTGCAGCGCGTCGCTTTCATCCCATGTGTAGTGTGATGAAAGCATGTTGCGACTTGGTTCGTGCAAATTGCATCCACGGAACATTGCCAACGAGTAGTGCAAAACCCGTGGATCAGTGGGGCACGTGGAAGGCAGTCCGCCCGCACGATAGGTTATCCGCAGAAGAAAAGCGTTTCATCTCTGCAGTAGTTGCCACTCTCACTCCAAGTACAATATCTCGCGAAACCGGGTGATGAACGACGAACACAATCGTCGTTTGAGACGCAATGCTCCGCGTGTGTTGCGTATGTTGCCATGCTATCCGTTGCGGACGTCAGACTACAAACTTCGGTACACATATGGACGCACCAGTCGGTTTCATACAAGGGGTGTGCCGACACTCGCAAACCGTGGCTACTTTGGCAGCATTCGCCGCACGACACAGCAAACTAACAGAGGCGGCGCGCTAAAGTTTGTACGCCGCATGTCTCTAATAAAATCTAGTGGAAGGATGAAGAGCTTCGTCCAGCGTTGATCTATCGAACGGGCGACTTTTCGGTGTCGAGCTGCTGCTACGAAAGAGGAGGGCTTCATCATCCTGGCGCCACTCAATCCACGAAAGTTGACCAAAGGCAGCTCCGTCCCTCCCGCCACCCTTTCGCCGTGTCTCGAGGAATTCCCCTCAAACCTGAGCGTGTACGCTAGCCAGGAATCCTTCCTTTTTCGATTTCCTTGAAGAGCGAGAAGTCAGTACACATTTTTCAGGGAGCAGAAACCGAAAATGGATCGAAACGAAGAAAAATCGACTAGACCCGGTCCGGCACTACAACACCGGAGCTGTGCGAATACATCCTCTCGGTCTACTGCACTGCTATTGCCAACGTGTCTCCGGCTCAAGTCGCAAAAGCGCCCACAACGGAATCAATCGTCCGCATCGAAAAAAGCTTTCATGGTATCGACGTCCAAAACCACGTCCTCCCCCTCAGCGGGCATTCCAAAACGCCCGGGAACAGTAGCTCCCTCGCCATTGCCACTCCCCGCGTCATAGCTTGGGACGAAGTCCGGGTGCTTGGCGTACGGGTCGATGCACAACGCCAACCCTTGAGCCGCCACCTCCCCCAGGTCGAGGGGGTCACCCTCCATGATTTCGTCGTCCGTTTCAGTGTCCTCTTCCAGAGCCCACAGCGTGGATTGCACGCTGTCTAGGCTAACTTCCTGTTCGGTGCGTTGGTAAGCGGCGTGGATGGGAAGAAATGATGGTTTTCGTTTTTCAGCACCCGTGCTTTCAATAGCAGTGCTCACGCACGCAAGGGGGCTTATCAAGCACGGCGAAAGTGACGCCAGCAATATTAGCACTTGACACCGATAGGGGTGCACAACATCTACTGGGTTGGGACAGCAGACGAACCTGCACTCATCAATTTTTACCTGTATCGCGGTGCTGAATTCTCGTTCGACCGGGAGTACGAATGGCTCCAGAGTGGCCGCGCAGTTCTGGGTAACATTGCCTTTCACGCGCCCCTGCAGCAAATACGCCCCCGACAAAGCAACATGTACGGAACAGCAGCGTATGGAAACGATAGCAAACCACACTGAGGACTGCGTTTGTCACGGAGGGCTAAGTGTAGCAACCAATGGCACCGCCAACGCAGCGGTACGCATACCGACGCATCGGCGGAGACAAACCATGATATAAGACAGACCGATAGCAGTTGTCAGCCAGGGAACCAGCAAGCAAAAATGAGCGGAATGGCACCAGGATGAAGGCGACATGGAAAACGGGGGATATGTGCATACGCACACGCGCGCACGCGGTGACCAAAGTTTCGTCATGCGGAGATTCATGCATGATATCCCATAACTGGGAACGCAGCTGAAAACTCCCGCTGCCCACGCCCCTTGCTCATCACTGTGCACCAGCACAAGCCCAGCGTTAAAGACTCCAACCTCTCACCCGGATTTTTATTTTTCTGGCGTCTGAGCCGCGAACAACCCTGAAGTCGGCCTTGAGGCCGGTTATCGCTTCGCACGTGAAGCGTTGGGCGAGAGCGGCGCACTCGTTCTCGGTCGCCTCTACGCTGAAGTACCTGTCGAAGGAGCAGCCAGATAATGCAGTGGATGCGCGTCGGATTTCGCGAGAACAGCAAGGAAAATAGAAAACCCTTCCCCCACGGTCAGCCTAGCAGCTGGACGCACGACATGCAACTAGAGTCAAGCTCACGTATCCAAAAACTTCTTTGTGTCAACCACATCGATACTTTGGTTTAGCTCACGTCATGAACGGCCATGTGGTACTGTAGGCGAAACACCCTACTACTTGCTGGCACTGCATCAAAGTATATTGCTTCGAAACTGATCTAGCTGCGGCACAACTGCACGATGAGATGCCTCTACAGCATATCATGTTGGTGGCCATCCCACCGATACCACAGCAGTTTCGCGATCCACGCTCAGACCATGACGGTACAGCTAGCTGTGTGGTGTGCAGCGACGTCGCGTACGTCAACCCACTTTGGCTTGCGGCTGAGCTCCGAGCAGTCAATCTTCCTCGAGAACTCCACCGGGGCCCTGTCGTCCAGGGACGACATCTTCGACTCCCCGCCCCACATCTCACCACCGTCCCCAGCCGTTTCGAAAGGAGAGGGAGCGCTGGTGCCACTATCGACACTGCTTCCCCTGTTGTTGCTGCCGCCATCACGCCCGCCGCTTCGCCCGCCCCTGCCACCCCTCCCTCCCCGCCCCTTGCCCTTCTTTCTGTCGCTGGAGTACTCATCGGGTCGGTCGGTTCTTCGCCTCGACGAGTCGCCACCTGATCGTCCTCCGCCGCGCGCGCTGAGCATCACCGAGCTCCTCCTTACTCTCCAGGTGGTTAGAGCGGTGCAAACAGTGCCGCTGTTGTGGTTGAGCCGCACCCCGAAACTAGTTGCAGTTGCAGCAGGAAGTGCCGACATCGTCGCCGTCGTAGCTGGTGCTTGGTGGCCACTACTCCTGCTGCTGCTCCCGGTGTGGTGAAGCGCTCTTGTAGTAACGGCAGCGGTGCCGCAGGCTTCAGTAACAACTGATGCTGATGGTTGGCGATGAAAGCGACATGATGATCTTTGCTGAGGGAGAGGCGCGGCAATGAAGAATGCAGGCGATAGCAAAGGAGCACAACACCCCAGAAGGAGAAGGACAGAGCCGAGGGCTAGTTGTGATGATCTCACGCTCCTTCTACCAGACCCTGCCATCTCTACGCCTCCTTTCCGGTGTCGTGCATGGAGCGGGCGGAGCAGCTCGTTGGGGCACCCGCCGCTAAGATTGTTTCAGGTTTCCAACAAGCCGCATGAGCGTTTTTCTGGCGGGGACAGCACTGGGGTATTGGGGGCTCCGTGAATGTTTCCCGCTCTCTCGCTACGACCGTCCGCTCTTCACCACCTGCTGCTGGTGGTACTGCTGGAGGAACACTCCCTGTATCTCGTGCGCTCTCCTGGCACCTCGTGCTCCTCCTCTCCGAAGAATTGAGCAGAAATCAGGTGTAACCTGCAAGAATCGTACGTGGTGTTGTCGCCGGATACCGACCACCCGACAGCACACCATGGGAGATGCGGCGCCCGTAAGCAGATGGGCTCAGCGCAAGCAGCAGCGCGAGATGATGTACGCCACAAGCAGCGATGCAATTCAGGTGTGGAATGTGTGCAAGTGGAGATGTACGTGATGATGGCGTTGTTCACAACTGCTGTGGATGGATCCTGAGCCTGGTTATTTCATTTCGCATTGTTGAACATGGACGACCTCCTGTTGCGAGAGAGGGCGAAGTACGCGAAGGAAGGCACCAACCCACCGACTCTTTGCAATGCATGGATAGCTGGACGTAGCTGCTGACCTCGTCGGTACGAGGCAATAGGCCTGCATGCTGGCCTCTCTGTGTGTCTGATAATTAAAAAGTAGCGATAATGATAAATTCGATCGCTGCTCGCGTTCCCCGTGCCTTTTGCCTCCCCGAACCGTCGTGTCCGCCTCAGGGAGTCTTCCGCAAGAAGCAGAAAGCGGCCAAGAACATGGTGTGCCAGAAGTGCCTGCAAGTTGGTGAGAGTTGGTTGCAACGGGTGCGATCGCTTCGGTTGATGGACTACTGTTGTACCACCGCACATTATGAAAGGCACCCAAAAAAATTCTTCTCTTGGTCCTATATGCTGTCTAGAGGTATGCAGACTGTTGCATATGCCCGCCCCCGTCGGTGAGGCAATACTCGATACACGACAACAAATAACCCAGACTAAGTACTCCCTTCTTCCCCTCGCTCCTCGACAAGCTTTTGCTTAGACATGGGTTGTAGTGAAAGGGGGGGTCTTTCTGGCGAGCAGGGCTAGACTCACCCTCAAGGGATGACCGAAACCTTCTTGCTGCTGCGCATATCCGCCGCGAGGCATGCGCGTGGTGGTGTAGTTGGGTCGGCACTGATGGGGTCAGGCGAAAAAATGTAGATGCGCGGGCCTCTGGCCGTCGGCGTAGGCAGCGATGCCCATCTCATTT